GGTCCTCCCCTCCTCTCTGCTGTGGTCCTCCCCTCCTGTCTGCTGTGGGTCCTCTCTCCAGTCCTCCTTCCTCTCCGCTGTGGTCCTCCCCTCCTGTCCGCCATGATCCTCCCCTCCTGTCCGCCGTGGTCCTCCCCTCCTGTCTGCTGTGGTCCTCCCTCCTCTCCACTGTGGGTCCTCCCTCCTCTCCGCCGTGGTCCTCCCCTCCTCTCTGCTATGGTCCTCTTCTCTTTCCCAGATGCCAAAGCCATTTTCTCATTGGCCAGTCTAGCTCCCTTGTCATGCTGTGGTTCTTTCCCTGTGGCAACTGAAGTGATCTTGTGATGCTGCTGGATCACGCAGTCCTCTGACCCTTCCAGTGCCTTCCATAAATAAAGCTGAGGCTTCTCCCTGTGGCCACCATCCTGTCCACCTTGCGGCCTCCCATCTACCTCTGACTGACTTTTGTTCCTCGGATCCCTAAGCTTGTCTCAGCATTTGATGGGTGCCTCTGCTTAGAACCCTCTGCTCCCTCATCTTCAACAGCTGGGAGCGTCTTGCCTTTCAAGCCCCAGGTTATGCGTCCCCCCAGCGAGCAGCATTCGTGGCTCTAACGTCCACTGTAACAGTTCTCCCTCCACCCCTTTTGTCTCTATGTGGCCACCCTTGTTTTCATGTTCTTCGTATCTTTTCTTGCTGTCTTAGTCTATCACAGGTCTTCACTTCCGTGTTTGTCTCCTACGGGAATGTGGGCTCGTGGTTGCAGACGCCTTTACTGTCACATCCGTGACTGTCTCTCCTGCACCTTCACAGGATGCGTAGTAGGTGCTCTGTCAACATCCACTGAATGATGGGTGGCTTTGAACTGATGGATGGTTTTAATTTTGCAGCTTTGCTAATGTATATTTCAAGGAATACTGACTTCTAGTAATTAAATATAAATGTTAGATGTTTCTTGATTTGACACAAAGGCCTTTAAAAAAAAAAAAGGTGTGTTTTTCAGGAAATTACAAGTGTTGATGAGAATGTACACAAACTGGAATCCTGCACATTGTTGATGGGAATGTTAAATGGTGCAACCACTACAGAAAACAGTATGGAAGTCCCTCAAAAAAATTAAAAATAAAATTGCATATGATCCGGCAATCCCAATCCCAGGTATAAGAATTCAAAAGGGGGTTGGGCAAGGTGGCTCATGCCTGTAATCCCAACATTTTGGGAGGCCGAGGGGGGTGGACCACCTGAGGTCAGAAGTTCGAGACCAGCCTAACTAACATGGCAAAACCCCATATCTACTAAAATTACAAAAATAAGCTGGGCATGGTGGGCGCATGCCTGTAATCCCAACTACTTGGGAGACTGAGGCAGGAGGATCACTTGAACCTGGGAGGTGGAGGTTGCAGTGAGCTGAGATCATGCCATTGCACTCCAGCCTGGGTAACAGTGAAACTAAGTCTCAAAAAAAAAAAAAAAATTGAAAAGGAGGATCTCAAATAGATATATGTACATGTTACAAATTTATAGTAGCCAAAAACTGGAAATAACCCACATTTCCACTGAAGGCTGAGTGAATAAACAACATGTGGCATGTGTGTGCAGGGGAATATTACTGACCCTTGAAAAGGAAACTCTGACATTGCAGCATGGACGAAACTTGGGGACATTTTGCTAAGTGAATAAGCCAGTCTCAAAGGGCAGACGCTGTTTGATTACACTTATATGAGGTTCCTGGAGTCGTGAGCTCCACCGAGATGAAGAGTGGAATGGAAGAGCCGGGGCTGGGTGGAGGGGTGTAGGGAGGTGGTGTTTCATGGGGACAGAGTCTGAGCTGGGGGAGAGGAAGAGCGTTCTAGAGATGGATGGTGGTGACTGTAAAACAGTGGGAATGTTCTTAATGCCACTGAGGTACCTGCAAGTGAAATAGTTAAGATGGCAAATCTTATGTAATGTGTATTTTACCACAATTTTTCTTAAAAAGGTGTGTTTTAATATATCCTGACTCTCCAAGTAGTATGCTTTCCCCATTTTCCCACCAGCCCTCCCTTTCCAAACCTATACTTTCAGGAAGGGCTGATAAACTCACTCACACTGAGGTCTGAATGCATCATAAGGCTTAGTGACTTTCTTAGGCCGGGAGTATTTTTCTTCAAATAGGAGCAAAAATGTAAAAGGATGGGGGTGTTTCAGGCCTCCAGTGCAGGCTGACGACAGGACTGGTGGGGAGCTGGGCACGGGGAGGTTGGATCCCGGGATGGCTTTCTTCCTTAGACTGAAATAGCTGCATGTGCTCACGTTCCGCTGCTGAGCTGGGCTCCTGCACCTGGAGAGGCGATGCCAGCTGTGGGGGAGGGTGGGGTGGGGCATTTGACCAGGCCAGCAAGGGCCGGCGGAGGTGGGGTCCCAGCGCTTAGCCCTCACAGCAGAGGCAATGGGCTCCTTTCCTGGCTGGCTGGTGGTGCAGCTGGACATCCCTGGTCCTGTAAGATTCAAACCGCTTTGTTTGTTTACTTGAGGTTTGAAATTTCTCCCCCTGCTGTCTTCTCAGCTTGGCCTTTTAAACAAGGCTGCAAGGCACAGGAAATGAGCTGGCCTTTGCTTCTGCTTTGCAGGTGTGTCTGAGGGAGCCCAGTGGCTAACCGGCTCACCCGGCGTGGACAGGAAGAGCAGTGCCTTGCCAGAGGTGGCGGGGCACCCCCAGGTCCGTCCTGCAGCTTGCCTGCTTTGCAGAGCATGGCTTTCTTTCAAAGTGCCCGGGCTGGCTACCTGCATGGCAGGCACTGACAGAGTGGCAGTCCCCAGAGACTGTCTCTTGGGCCCAGCATCTTTGCGGTCCTTGGTAGCTGGGGAGGCTGAAGGGGTGGGGTGAGTTTGTGCTGATGGAAGCACTCAGCTGTCCCTCCAGACTCTTGGGTAGGCCTGTCAGCACAAACCTGCAGAAACACCAGGGCCCTTCTGGGTCCCTGGAGACACTTGGGGATCAACAATTCCCGTTTCTGATTCTTGCTTGGAATTGCAAACTGCTTTTCGGTAGCCCTGACTAAGAGATGGAAATTAATTATCAGAGCTCTTAATTATGAATGCAAAGAGATTGCATTGCCAGCATTTTCCCTGTGCAGAAATGTTTGATTCTTAGGTGCAAACTGTGGTATAGGGCTATCTGGAGTATTGGATTCTCTTAGGCAGGCAGCCTTGTGGAAGGAAACCAAGGGTCTGGGATCTAAGTGCAGAGAATGCGCTTGATGCCTTTGTAGCTTGCAAACCCAGCCTTGTGTTGATTTCAGAAAAATAATTCAAATTTCTTCTCTGCTTGGGTTAGAAGGGGCCTGTGAAGCTTCCTTCTCCCTGCCCTGGTCCTGTAGCAGGTCTGAGGTTCAAGGTTTTCACCACGTTGAATATCTGATGCCAAATATTTCAAGCCTGTCTTCCACCTGGTACCACTGTTGCTGCC